TTTCTTGATGTTGCCTGTCAGAATATAATACGATTGAAAGGTCTTGGTGAAAATTCTCTCCATTATTTATGCAATCGCATTTTCATCGCTTCAATCACTCAAATCTCGTCTCAAAGTTTCCCGTTTCAGTCGAGTGCAGTTACAAAAAACATTATTCGTAAAACGGAATTGAATGGCCTCCTGATCGTACCGTTGAAGGTTCGCCAAAGTTTGGAGAAACTGCGGACCTGGGACAATGAGGAGGAGCTGAGAATCATCTTTAAATTTAACCAGTGTCCTATTTTCGTATGTAGTGAGATTCAGCTGGTTGGACGGAGGATACTTAATAAAATGACTTTCAATAGTTAGGTATCGCTAAATTTGCCGGCTTGCAACCGAGCAGCAAAAAAGACTTTCTTATCACAATTTCCCCCTTTCCTTATCGTAACTCGATCGAGTAGCCAGCGCTATGCACATTTCCCCCTATATTTTCAAGACAAGTGGAAAATTTAAAGTGAGACATAATTCCCTCTCCTGGTCCGTCCGTCCAGCCAGTTGCCTCACCTGCCAGAGAAATTCTATATTGCATCGGTAAATTGTATTGCTTTATATATATATTTTTTACTCTACTCCGTCCTGCCACTTGAGGAAAGCCGCCCGGTCCATTGAAATTCCGCAAGGTTGGCACTGAATCCCTTGAATGTGATTATGGTCTTTATATTGCCTTCCAATTACTTCTGGATGCGAAAAAATTGCAGTTTTCATTCACCGACGTTATTTTATTCCCAATGTTTTTATTTATAAGAACAGGAACACTGCAACAAGTCAGAAATTCACAGGCGGTGCACACACGTTCTCGAATTTCCTTGATGGCTGAAGCAGATAATATAGATTTCCCTTTGATGCCCTTGATCGTATCGCTATCCCTGCGCGTCCATTTGGGCTCACATCGTTCGATTCTTTAAAAAGGAATGGGAATTCCAGCTGTGAAAGCGGATCTTCCTGCTTGCGTGGAAATGAACCGTGAACATAGACTCAGTGATGGTGGATTACGATAAGTCGGATTTCATCGCATGGCGATGTGCCAAGAAAAACTGCAATGCTATTTTCCATTCTGTAAAAAGGAGACACCCAGTTTAAATCCCGGCTGGAAACAGCTATAATTTCCAACTGGACTCCAGCTGTAAATTCGGACCCATTCCAACTGGGTAACAGCTGGAAAGTAGTCATCTCCAGATTTCTTCCTAATTGCTATATCACTAGCTNTCCAACTGGGTAACAGCTGGAAAGTAGTCATCTCCAGATTTCTTCCTAATTGCTATATCACTAGCTGAATGAGAATCTTTTTTTGTCAGTGGTCCATCTACAGGAACAGCTGATTTTCAACTGTAAATTTAGCTACATTCCAGCTGTAGGGTCCTCTTGATAAAATTCCAACTGGAAAATTTCCAGCTGGAAACAGCTATTCAAATCAGTTGCATTCCAGTTGGAAAATTTCAGCTAATAAACAACTGGTACCTACTATTTTCCAGCTCTTTTCCAGCTGGAAATAGTCCGAATTTACAGATTTGGTCCAGCTGGAATATTCCAGTTGGGATTTTAAACTGGGCAGTCGCGGTCGCATTTGTTCTCCATTTGGTGGCATCTGTCGCATTTAGTCGACAAACGATTCGGAAAGGCAACGACTCCATGGCTTGAGTCGCTCAAGTTAGGCAAATGATGGCATCTCATCGTGAACATACGGAACGTTCCCTGACTCAGTGCTGATGTGGCGATTCCGATCGTTTTCATTTCACGAAGAGGGACTTGTGCCGAAGAGGACCGCGCTGGGCACCGTTGCGTCCTTTATTTCCTCTTTCTCTTGTTTTCTCCTTTTTTCCTGTTCATGTTGAGCTCGGGGAAGATTTTTTTTTGTCGTAGCCTGGACCTGAATGGGGAAGGGGGGGGGGGGGGGGGGTTTTTTTTGGGGGGGGGNGGACGGGAGGGGGGGGGGGGGGGGGGGGGAGTTATTCTTGAGGTGAAGATATTTCTTCCTTCGCCATCGATGCCGACCATTCCTCCCAGTCTAGACAGGAACATCAGAACATTTTGGATCGATGCGACTCAGCATTCGCTGTGACCAGAACGAAACGAAATTCGTTATCCACTAGAGACAGTTCATGCTTCTCGCGAGAAAGTCTGAGCAGTGTGTCCTACACTTCAGGGGGAGAGGCCCACTGCAGTAGGTGAAGTACAAGTACCTAGGGATCTGGTTCTCGAGCGAAGGGCTATATGTAAACGGGATCGAGAATCGCATCTCCAGGGCTTCAGGGGGGAACTGACTTCCCAGACCGGAAATTTTACATGAGCCCAGTGATGGGGCTGTTAAGGGCCAGTGATGGGCCTCGGCGCAGAAAAAAAAATATACCAGGCATTTGTAGCGTGAACACCTTTGAAGTGTGCCCTGTAGCACATAACATTGAAACAACATGGATTCAATGTTGACTCAACATCTGGATGTTGTATCGACATTGAATCATTGTTGATTCAATGTTATGTGCTACTAGGGTGTCTGTGCTTCCATGCTGCAAGCCTGTCACAACAGGGACAGGCGTGCCATGGAAGCTTAGATGTTGGGATTTTTATGTGCTGTGGCCCATCACTGAGGACCGGTCCATCATCGGTGGGTATTTTACCCTTACCTCTCAGATTTTAAGAGTGTTTATTTCCCCATCACCACCTATGGCCATGAACTATGACCGAACGAATCATATCAAGCTGCCTCGATGACGTTCTTCAGTTGGGTGGCCGGTGTCGGATACCCAAAAAGAGTCTCTCGGTTCAAGATGACCATCAGAGGACCAGAGGATCGACCTCGAGCAAGGCGGAACGACTATGTTGCCGTCACGCGAGGCGCGGCGTCTCGCCTGCTGGCTCGAGTCCGTCTCTCAGGATCGGAAACATCGGACAACTTGCCCAACTTTGCCCCACCTGCATCGACCAAAGATCCCATCGGTAAGGGATGGACGGTCTAGAAGATGAATTGACGAGTGAATGATGAGAGTTGATGACTCGACACATGAAGGGACGTCATCTGAAACCTGCCTGGAGCTGCAGCCATGTCGAGTCTCATTTGGACATTCATGATGATGCCTCGTTTTTTACCCAACGATCTTGCAGTGTCTCGCATTGGTTATTCCCGCACAAATGTCTAAAAACTTGGAGGGGGAATCCAAAAAATGTAAGCGTTGGATCGGGAAGCATTGCTCACCCATTTGTCTCCACCGTATGTAAATAACCAATTATATATGTAGTACATAGCCAATTTCACGTTTGACAAACGTCCTCCCTCTTATCTAGATCCCCAAGCAAACCAATTTCCCGCGTTCTTTCATGCCACGTGTCACGTTCTTTCGGATCTCCAAAAGTACCGGATGGAATCGCACGAAATTCAGCTGCCGGCAAGAGAATGAAAGTTAAACAAATGAGCAGTGAATGTGTAAGAGTAGACCTTGTATGGAAAAAAAGTAGCCCCCGATCAGTGACGTATTTTGGCTCATAAACTAGGGGGGTGGGGGGGGGGCAAGGTAGAAGAAAGGGAGCTGCAAAGGCCGATGAGAAGTGCTGAACTAAGGTTCTCAGGGGCGAAAAAAAATCCTTCACGGAGGGCATTTTGGGCTGTGAGGGGGGGGGGGGGGGGGGGCCGCCCCCCCCCCCCCCCCCCCCCCCCCCCCCCAAAAACCCCCCCTGGGGGGGGGGGGGGGGGGGGGGGGGGGGGGGGGGCGGCCGCCCCCACTGCACTCCCCCCCTCCCCCCATAAAATACGCCACTACTCCCAAAACCCAAAAGCGCCTTCGAGAGCACCATATCTGCTCCTTGGTCCCTGTGACATGATTTTTTAAACTTGAAATGCCCATGAGCTTCATATTGTTTTATGGGAGTCGAAAAGGTGATGTTCCCATCACCTGAACCTTTCTCCCATGGCCCCTACGGGTTGCAAGGCTTCCCACTTCTCGACATGCGAATCGGAATTCGTTTTCAGAGCCTTTCGTCGTGGAAAATGGATATTACAGCAGTTACTTAAATTATAGTTTAACAACATTGACTTGACACCAATGCAATGCACAGAGAGAACTACGCACGGGTATCGGAGAAATTAAAAATGGATAGCCAAGGTACTATGAAAACTTGAACACCATGGAAACCCAAGGAAAACAGTCTCGTACTTCCTATCGATTAATACTTGATAAATGCTCATGGATGCTTTCTTCCACAGTTTCCATCAGGGGCGTGACGTACAAAACCCCAGCAGATGGTGCATTTATGAAGTATCCTTTTTTTGTAGATGTGAGAGGGGAGAGTAATCAATAAAAAAAAATTGAGCATAGTAATTTTCAAGGACACATTGAGACCTTGAACCTTGAATGAAGACGTCATTTAGAGGGCACGTCTTCATGCCTGGGATAGGGAGCCGGTATGCGGTGTCAAAGCATGCAGCAGGTTTTAAAAGCGTTGAAAGGATCCACATTCACAAGGCCACAGACGTGCATGGCTATATCCAGGAAAAAGCAATGCCACGTAATTTAGCTGCAGATGCTATGACGTCATTACAGACTAACGCGCGGGGAAATGAACCCAAGGAGAACCAAGGCCATCCATGTTTTGGATAGGTTATGAATAATTATCGCGCAGCCATGAAAACATTTCCGGGATCGACTTTAATAGAAAGGAAGCGAGGAAAGAGAGATGTGAAAAGAGAAAGAGAAAGTAGAGAAGCAGTAAAGAACATTGCTCCATGATCAATAACGCTTCTGTACATTGTGAGAACTGGGGCCATGAATTACGTGGGCCACAGAGAACCGGCATACGTGGACGTCGCCGGCAGCATATCCCCGATGGGACCGCAGCCTCGATAGACTACTTCCCGCGGGAAATTCACAATTGGACTGCAGCATAGACGTACTACAGCCCGCGGGAAATCTCAGTGGGTCCGCGGTGATGCCTCTCCCTGGATCCGAGACCGAAAGCAGTCTACTTGCGTAAGAGACGCCCGCGTGCTCGATTCCGATTGGCTGCCGGTCATCGGCCAATGGAAGTTCACCATGTGTCTGGGGTGTCTTTTTAGTGTGCTCTCTTGCGGCGCTCGTCAGACCGGGTCGGCAGATTCTTTTAATATCGCGCTCCGCGTGTTTCTGGAATTCTTCCTTGTTTGAGATTCAGCCACAAACACGTCAACATGAAGCAGATCATCGTTCTCATCGCTTGCTTCACCATCGCATTTGGAAAGGATTATTTCGTCGAGAGGTTCGAAGATGGAGGTGAGACAGGATTATAGCTCTAAACTCCTTCAAAAGAGGCCGTGGGACTTTTTTTTTTGTTCATTTGAGTTCATTCCTTTTTAATTTACTGCAACACTCTTGCATGGTAAAAGCCGTGGTCTGGTGTCGAAGAGGAAAACGCAAGCTGGCAAACTCTAATGGGAAAAAATAAGTTAGTTGCTCAATGTGGCCTAGACCGTAACTGCAGCTTTAAAAATTGTAGGCCTAGGCTTGTGGTGTGTCTATTAGGTCTAGCGGTAGTCGAACTGGGGAATTTTATTATTGGTCAGCATCATTTAGGCATAACTTCAGTGGATCTAGAGCCTGCTTGTGTGACCCATAATACAACCAGTTGTGTCAGATTTAAGCTGAATTTCTTTCATTTATTTCTTTCATTTATGCTGTTTTCTTGACGTTTTGCAGATGCATGGGAGAGTAGATGGGTGCAATCTGAGGCTAAGAGTGATTATGGAAAGTTCGTCTTGACAGCAGGGAAGTTCTATGGCTGTGCAAAAAAAGATAAGGGTGAGTGCAATTTGTGAGAGTTTTCAGCCTCACCAATCAATGAAATTTTGCATTGAAAACTGTTTGAATGAATGCATTTTCCAGGCATCCAGACATCACAAGATGCAAGGTTCTATGCCATCTCGTCTAAGTTCCCCGAACCTTTCAGCAACAAAGACAAGAACCTTGTGATCCAGTTCACTGTGAAGCATGAGCAAGGAATTGACTGTGGTGGTGGCTACCTCAAAGTCTTTGACTGCTCAGTCAACCAGAAGAAACTTGATGGGGATAGTCCCTATTTGGTCATGTTCGGTGAGTGGAGCTGAATTTTTTTGTTTTTCAAAGTAATTGCTTATGGCTACTTTTTAAAATAAGTTCCAGAGCTCTGTAATTTATTATTTGCATAGCCAGATCCCAGAGAGGCAATCTCTTATAACTTTGCTCATTTGTAGTAGTTGGCTGTTTTATTACAGATTCTCATTATGGAATAGGCTTTTAGTTTCCCATGTTTGAATGTAATAGTTTTCTAATTCTAATTGTTTCCCTTCCAGAGAGCCTTCATATGAAACCACTTGAAAGCTCTTCTGTATATATGTGGAGGTTTAAAATTTAGCAATTTTACTGGTAAAACTTTAAACTTCCTTTCCCTGCTTGAATGAATATCCATATGATGGAGATATAAATATTTGAAGTAAGGTTCCTCTTGGTACAATTTTGTCCTTTTAAAAAGAATGTGACAGCTTTCCTGAGGAGTTTAGGAGGGATAGAGCAGTGCAAAAAAACAGGTAGATAGGAGACACCATTTTTGGAGAAGTTAAATATCTGTAGAAACTAATGCCAACAACAGTAGGTGATGTTTTCCAGCTCTTGTTTTCCTGGAACCTTGTTATTCAATGTCCTGTGGCTTTTTCACCACATAGAGGTCTCAACCATCATTGACAATGTGGAATATAATATATAGTTTTGCAGTAAAACACTATTGCAATATCCTTACTTGCTTTTATGTACTTGAATATGGAAGTTGGAGGTGTGGTCACTTAAATAGCCTTTCATGTAATTCAAGAAAAGGCAAGTATGTAATTGAAATGTGTAGACTCCCAGCATTCATATATATGCATGACAAGGATGACATGTTATCAATATCTTGGCATATTAGAAGCTGTCATTCTGATGCACTCTCTGTTACTTTAAATTTCCTAGAATTCTGGCAGAATTCTTTCAGTTATTTGTATAAAAGGAACCACCCAAGTGATGTTTCTTGGTTAAAGTTCTGGAATGACAATTGTCATTCCATGTGTATTTTGGGTTGAGTAGGTCAAGATGAAGCTATTGAAAAGTTACCATTTATAGGAACATGACAGTTGAAACATGTACATTGACACTTCAGCCCATAATGTTTTTTTGGTACTTCCAAACAGGACCAGACATCTGTGGCCCTATGACAAGGAAGGTGCACGTGATCTTCTCCTACAAGGGCAAGAATCTCCTTACAAAGAAGTCCATTTCCTGCATGGATGACAAGTACACCCACCTCTACACTCTTGTTGTGAAGCCAGACAACACATATGAGGTTGGGCATTCTTTCAAAATGTGAAGATATATGCATTGTTTTCTGGCTGCATTTCTTATTCCATTTTGTGTTCTTGCAGGTGTATGTTGATGCAGAGAAGAAAGAATCAGGTGAGCTTGAGGGAGATTGGGATTTCTTGCCACCGAAGAAGATCAAGGACCCAGAAGCAAAGAAACCAGAAGATTGGGATGACCGTCGGACCATTGATGATCCAGATGACAAGAAGCCTGATGTAAGTTCTTGGTTGCTGTTGTGTTTTAGTAATAATTTCAAGTTATATTTTTCTGATGAGTTCAGGCCAAATTAGGTATATAATTTAATGCTCTATAGAATATTCTCATTTACTGTAGGGAAGTCTACAATAGCTTAACCTTAATCTAAAGTTATTTTTTTAATTTTTGGAGTAGTTCTAGTCACTCTTACCTATATGTGATTGTGATTTGTGAAAAAATAATTACATATATTCAAGGTGTAACATGCAAAATATGCTTTTACCCAGATGGAAGTAGAGCCCCTGGTTTTCAAGCAACTTCATTCTAAGCTCTTGTGCCAAGGTGTCATCACATTTGGTTTGGGTACTTTCAGATAATGACTTTTTTTTCTCTAAGTATAGAAGAAAGAAAGCTTCAGTTTTAGTACTTGGTTATTGTTGAAATGACATTTGCATCATGCTAGATGTAGTTTTGCTTCATAAGGGCTGGGTATTAAAATTAAATTGCCACACTTCAAGTGAAAGAGGAATTTTTGCATAAACTTGTTTGAATTTTTCTTGGATGAAGACTAGACTGGTAATGCCAAATTTGCAGGACTGGGAGAAGCCAGAGCATATTCCAGACCCAGATGCCACAAAGCCTGAAGATTGGGATGATGAAATGGATGGAGAATGGGAGCCTCCCATGATTGACAACCCTGAGTACAAGGGAGAGTGGAAGCCAAGGCAGATTGACAACCCGAACTACAAGGGAGAATGGATCCACCCAATGATTGATAACCCTGACTATTCCCCTGACTCAAATTTGTACCTGAGGGAAGAGGTCTGTGCACTTGGCCTTGACCTGTGGCAAGTGAAATCTGGCACCATCTTTGACAACTTCCTTGTCTCTGACGATCCCGAAGAGGCTCTTCGTGTTGGCAAGGAGATGCTGGAGGAGACCAAGGTAAAACTTTTTTCTTTTCTTTGTCTTTGAAATCTTCAGATAAATTTTATTTGATCACATTGATCAAATCCATTTTGTGTATCAGTATGAAAATTCTCTATTAGAGGAGTCTGAAAATTACAAACTCCTCCCAGAGACCATCACCACCACCTCTGAAGCCCTCTGGCATATATTAATATGTAGCAAATGTTTCATTTTTTAAAGCATTATCAAAAATATGGAAATTAGTTCAGTCAGGAATACCTAATTTAAACATAGCGATTGTCACTACAGTGGTGCATTGTACCAATGCTGTGATTACAGAAGGGAGAGAAGGAGATGCATGATGCACAGGAAGAGGAGGAGAAGAAGAAGCGAGATGCAGAGTCAAAGGCATCAAAGGAGAATGAGAATGAGGATGAAGATGATGAGGAGGAAGATGAAGCATTGGATGATGATGCTGCAGACAAGCATGATGAATTGTAGAGAATGGGAAACAGGACTGATGGTTTGGGAGTGACTGTTGGCCGGCAGTGATGTGTGATATGCTGTAGGCTTAGATGTGAGCGTGAGCACTCTTACTTTTTTCTGCTGGTCTCATGTTATAATTCATCAACACACATTCATTCCGTTGTTCCCATCTCTGTCTTGTGGTATCCTCCATCTAGCAGGCATGCAAATTTAAAAAAAGATATAATTGCTTTCGGTGAAAAGCTCAATCTAGATTCCCCCAGTGATGATTCTGAAATCTGTTGTGTTTGTGGATTTTCTTTGAACTTCTTGGTGGTCCTCTTTTCATGCCCCCCAAAAGTGCTGTGATGTACCATTTCCTAAGTTATTTTTTACTCAGATTTCTTCTCTGGTGGGAAGTCGAGTGAGGAATACAAACAAAAGGACATTGTTACCTTGTGGTGTTGTTATTCTATGGTGTGAAACACCAGATACATATTGCCACACGTTGGAGGTTAGTAGTCTTGAAGAACACTAAGCTCCTTAGCACAAATGATCACTACAAAAAGCTTCTAACTTTGTAACCTCCCTGAATTTCACTAGGATGGATTGCAAGTTGCGTTATTTTAAGTTGATAACACCTTGCCACTGAGTACGACCAATGGGGTGAAAGCATTCTGGTGGGGTAAAGTACATTGCTGATGTATCAACCCATAATGGTTCTTCCTGGGACATATATTTTAGCTGAATTCTAGGCTTATACCTTGGCCAATTTAAGCATCTTATGCCTTTGATGGTTTATGTTTAACTTGGAAAAAATTTCCAAGTGCACGTGAGTGAGTATGAATGTATCAGGTACAGCTTGCTACAACACGGTTGGGTCAGCATTGTCACTTTTTACCTATGATGTCATGATTTATTAAATCAATTTTTTTTAACTCAACATCGAAGCTTGTGCTAAGTAAGGATAAGCCTTCGTAGATGCTATCGCTATATGAAAAGTGACTTTCTAAAGAGGATTAAATATTTCCTGAATGTAAAAATGTATCTGACCAAAGTGTCGGGGATGACATCCATTCTGCGGCAATGTACCTGCACATATGCTGACTGCGAATTTCGACGCACTACAAATTTTCCCAAGGCTTCACAACTCCCTGCTCCATCACCTTTCAGTTGGAGAGCATATTTACGAATTAAAAATTTCTATAGTGCTGACAAAAAATATTTTAAACACTTCTCTTACACCAAAAAGTCCATCCATGCGAAAAAAGCGAGGGTCTATAAATGTTGTTGGGTTGCTGAAGATTTACCTGAAGATTTTTTTATACTCACCTACTAGTGACAGCAAAGCAGTGGCGCAGCGAGGGGGGTGGGGGCTTCAGCCCCCCCAAGTTTGGTTCAAGCCCCCCCAACTCTGGCCGGAATGCGTCCGTCCTCTCCCCCACCCCCCTGCCCACCGTGACGAGGGGAAGTAAGCCCCCCCAACGTTCCGCTTAGCCCCCCCCCATTGACGAAAGCCTGGCTACGCCACTGCAGCAAAGGCACGATGTTTTTGAAAAAAATGTGCACAAATGTTGCCAGCAGACATATTCGTTAGTTGCCGATGGGACAAATGCGGAAATTTCGTCAACACGAAAGCTGTAGAGGCAGAACCACTGGCCCGTAAATGAACGAGGATCGATCAAACCAGTCGGCGTACTTCGTGGCTCGGGTTTTGTTGGACTGGATGGCATGGACTTCCTCCTGCGAGAAGGTCAGTACTCTACACTCTGCCCTTGTCTATCACTTTGTCATCTTGCATCGAAGAGAGAAAGAAAAACTTGCACATCTCGAGCTGTTTGATCACTTGTACCATTAAGTACCTGAATGTATTGCTTTCTTGGGGAACATTAATTGTATGAATGTAACGTACCTCCGCCCGGTCCTAACGTACGCATTCGCAGCTTGGGCCAACTGTCCGGATGCAGTGATCAGTCAGCTAGAAGGCATCGAACGAGCTGCGATCAAATACGCCTTCCGCCTCCCGTTTTTCTTTCCTAACTCTTATATTTATAGAATAAGCGGACTCACCCCTCTCTCTCAGTACGCTTTAGCTCCTTTTATAAAAAAAAAAAAAAAAAAAAAAAATTAATTGTATGAAGCATCGGTGGTTCAGTGGTAGAATGCTCGCCTGCCACGCGGGCGGCCCGGGTTCGATTCCCGGCCGATGCAACTTTTATTTAAAAGATTTTCCCTCTCAAAGAGTTGACAGCATGTTATTTCTACAGCAGCTAAAGTCGAAATTCGACCAAATTGAGATTTCGACTTGTTTTAGAGTGCCGCAGATACCATCATAGGTCGTATCTGCCGTATCTACTTTTTAATGCGTTTTTATCACCCGTTCTTGAAAAGATGGCAAAGGAATGGGTGAAGTGATCAATTACTTCACCAGCCGTTTTAAAACATGTGAGGACGGCGTCTACAGTGATTTCGCGACGAGATCACACACACTAAAGTATAAGGAATGGTGTTTAAGACTGGAGGTATATACCGAATACCAGTTCATCTTGTATGCAACGTGAGGAAATGACAATTCCACTTGCGTCGCTGGACCCGTAGAAAACTGTGGTTTACATTGTAAGGGTTTGTGAACTAATCGCGAAATCACTGTAACACGTTCATGGGCTCGTCCAGCCGTTCTCCCGCGTGATCGCAAAGACCCACCAATCAGGAAAGACTTGACCAGGGATGCCCAAAGTGGATCTTCACTGAGGCACTTCGTGTGCTACGCGCGGGCAGCCCTTTTGACACGCCTGAACAAAACATTCACGTTAACTTCGATACGACGTGGCGTCCCTCAATTCAGTCCTCAGTTGGCGCGGGTGCGAGGGATAATTTACTGTGCTTAGTGTACTGGTGCAACATTTAATCACACTTTAAATTGGCGTACTCGGACTTATACATTATTTCCGAGATCGAAGGATGAGATTCTCTCGTCTCGAGACAACCTATCCTAGCCTACAAGGATAGTGCGTCTTTGATTTTCCTCAATGGATATGGCAAACGATGGAATGTCTCTTTGCTGTTGTTTAAACTCAGTTGAAAGCTTTGAAATTCCTCAAGCAAACCAATTTAATTGCAGCAGTGAAAAACAGGTGGAACCACATTGAATGCGGATATTTGGAGACTTGTAAGTTCGCGATATTGCACCATAGAATCGAAGATGCCCTCAGATTGGAACGTACACCATCTGTGTTCTGTGGAAGTTGATCGACCCCGTTCCAGGTCTCAAACGCGTTGCCAAAATTTCGATCGAAAATCTAGAAGTTGAACGACCGGAAATGCGTTCACGCCACCATCTTCAAAAACGGGTCACCAAAATGAGACTTTTAAAACTGTTTTTCGAAGAACAAATTCTCTCCAACTGGCATCACTGTAATCCTCTTCTTCCTGGAATTGATCATGAAATGGTTTTAAATTTGTACTCATTACTTATTTCGGCTGGGTCGACGCAGAGCTGCCAGATGGGGTGTGTCCAGTGGAGCTGGATCACGGGGTGGTGGAAGACCTGGACGCTGGTCTCAGCAACACCGAGGACATCACTCCCCTCACCGTCAGCAAAGCCGCCCTCTTTCACATCCCTCAAATCCGCCACAAACTCCACGACCTTCTCGAGGTCAACACGCGAGGCTTTTCTAGTATGCTGGAGGATCCGAGATGAGCCTTCTCAAATGCCTCAAATCGGTTCTTCTCGTTTTCGGACGTATTCTGCTACTGCAGTCATTCCGTAACTGTTTCATATTTTTTTTCTCAAAAATTTCCATTCCCTTTCGTTCCACAATTTCCGTAACTTTCGCAGTCCAATTTTCACCGCTGAGTTTTGTGTTTAACCCACGATCCTCGAGCTAATACTCATGCATTTGACCGACGGCGTACAGAGTTATCCAGAGGAGGAAGTGCTTCTCATTTACGATCCCGAGGGGAGTTTCGGCGGGAACGTCCTCATCTGCTTCACGGAAGACGCCAAGAGGAACGTCCTGGACCAATGGGCAGACTTCCAGTCTCGCTGCGGTCCCCCTTCGGCTCGACCGTGGACCACTCTCGGCTCCGAGGGAGAAGTCCACGACTTGAGCATCCACGAACATCGGAGGAAGGTCGTACGGTTCGTTCTTTCGTGCGTCCTCGTCGCGGATGCGACGTGAACGGTGTCTCGTGTGGGACAGATTCACCTGAAGGTGTGGAAGCCGTTGGAGGAGCTCGGACGTCGGCAGGAGTTCTGCGAGGTGACGTCGGGTGACGATGCCGTCGCCGGTCTCAATCCAGCCTTTTCGAGTCAATTCACCGTCTCAAAGATGGAGCTGGACTCTTCGGCCCAGGTGATCGTCCGGTTCGTTCTTAACTTTCGAGGTTCCTTCTTCGAGTCCCTCACACGCATCCCGGGCGTGTTTAGTGCGTCCCGGTTTTGCGTGAAAACTGGAGCCAGACGGCCTTGAGGCATCCCCGAAACGCTTCCACTCAGTACGAACCCCAGGGAATGTCGGCGGAGGAAGTGCAGCAACACCTCCAGTCTCCGCCTTACCGAGAATTCTTCAACTCTGCCTTCGACAGGTTAGTAGCGACGAAATCAACATGCGAAAGCCATCCTCAGTCGGACCGCAACGACCGACACCAACAAATAATACAAAGAGGAATCTTAACGACAGTCCTCGCCGTATTCTTCGACCGAATGTCACCGCCAAGGACGCTTATGGGATAGTATCGGAATTCCAGTATCGGGCTACGAGGTTACGACCCGCTTCGTCTCGTTTCGACTGTCGTCCGACTTGCCACCGCCGTGTATTCCACTCGTTCACTTCTTCGTCTGACTACAAACCTTCGTGCCTTTTTTGCTTATCTGCTCCCGATGGAGCTAGTGATAGGATGAAGGCCCCATCAAAAATTCGTAAAATAGAATTCACGTTTCCCGAGTTTCGACCAAACGGGATGGTCCTCTTCTCTCGATCTCATCCCCTCCACAATCGCTTCGCCCTAGGCATCGACTTCCTCGTAAGGGATTTATTGGAAACGAACAACCGTGCGGTTGTTCCTCTCTTAGGACATTCTCTCTCTAACAATCGCGGGAATGTGGACGAGGGGTGTTCACATACCGATGCTATTGCGAACTCAGAATTTAAGTGTCTCGTTCTGTACCAAAATGCTAAAGTGAATGATCTCCACGTTCACAAGCGAACATTTGCAGCCGCTCGGCATTAACGGAGCACTTTTCAACGATCAAGTTAATGCTGGCAGTCACCAACTTAACGAGATCATGACGTGCACCAGACTGCCTTAATTTCCATTCTAACGAGAATTAACTTCTCTCATTTGCAAATACCAACCGATATCTCTCCCCCCCTGAGCGACATCTAGATTGAACAGAATGAAGCAGTGGCGCGAATGGGAATCCACTCCCTCTACGTCTTCTCTTCTATCTGCATTGTACTCGCAGAACCCATTGAAAAAAGTTTCCTTGTTTCACTAAGGCTGACGGAGCAGTAAGCTGCGCATGGCATAGCTTCGATCATAAGTCTAATATGCATTCCCTCAACTGATATAGGAACAATGAAGGCGTATTTGCGATACCGTAGGACAGCTTGAAACCGGCAGAGCAGACAATCGTGACAATGGACCCATGCCAGTTTGCATAAACATAGCATTGAAACCTTAGAATCGGGGTCGTTTCGACGGCAGACTAAGGGTCGACGCCTCGATTCCCATGGCAGATTCTTAGAAATATCATTGTGCTTGTCACAAATACGATTATAATACAATTACACGTTTGACGAGAAGGTGCAAAGTAAAGGGTATAACGCTGGTTTATATACTGGGTGCCAAGAAACCTTTTGGTAAGGGGTAACAGCCAGATGTACGCAACCGACCTCAGTGTTCTTAGCATCATTCTAAAGCTGTTTTTTTTCTGTTTCTTTTCTTTTTCATGGCCGGCCTTCTTGGTGAGAGTGAGGAAAAACGAGTGGTGGATTGTATACGCGTGAACGCACACTTTCTAGTACAGTAATGAAGTCAGCGCCGCTCTCCGTGGCCTCACAGAACGCGTTCGCGAGTATATGGTCCGCCACTCGTTTTTCCTCGCTGACACCAAGAAGGCCGGTGTCGTATGATATTTTCCCTCCGTAATATTTTCCCCCCTCTCCCTTAATAAAGGGAGTTCGCCTCGTTCCTCGGCGGGTATTTCTTCCGTGCCTTTTATTGTTCCTTTTACGCTTCCATCTGCCTCGCGAACGGCTAAGCCAATGTTTATTCCTCGATCTTCAAAGCCACTTGAAAGATTCAAGCCCCCTGTTTAAAAGGCAAAGGAAAGCCCCTTCAGTTTCTGACAATATAGATTATATTCTCTTTTGACAATCAACAAACTTACAATTCTACTTTATAAACGAACACCCTTTCATTTCCATTAAAGGAGGGGGAAAAATATTACTGGGGGGAAAAATCATATGACAGCGGCCATGATCGTTCCACTCAGATGATCTGAGAAGTATTAAAAAAAAAAAGCTTTAGATTGATGCTGAGAACATTGAAGTCGGTTGCGTACTTCTGGTTGTAGACCCCTAGCAAAAGGTTTCTTGGCATCTAGTACATCCGGGCTATCTCCTCACAATTTTAAAATTAGCTACTCAGTACTGAGCACATCAACACGTTTCTACTGCCGCTGTCAAAGCAGATCCAGCGATTTCCTCATCCAAGGAGTTTACTAAGTGGAAATGTAGCAGAAACTGATAAGGGTACAGAGGAAAATCGAGGAAAGTTTCAAAGTATGAAGTGCTGTAAAGAATACTAGCCGAACGTCCGAGGAATGGGAAAAGGCTGTTTTACGACGCGTTCCCTTTTCTTCTTCCCTCAAGGTGCTTCGTTATCGTGCTATCGTTGAGCGTTAAACTGTGACGTCATGCGCAGACGATGTCCCCTAGGACAATTTTACAGTCTTGTTTCATCGAGGTCTGTTTACTGGAATGGGAGCAGGTCTTGGTCGCTTGCAACATAATGTGTGATGAGAACCTGTTTTGTTATTTTCCCCATCCAAAACAGGTCCAAAATGAATTGTTAATTGATAAATAGTTAACAATCATTGAATCTTCTCTTTGAATCCTTGTTTATCAGCTGGGGTTTGTTTGGAACTCCATTGTTCTCATCTGCTCCTGATTGCTGTCTCCTAGTAGATGAATAGTGTGAGTAGTTGTAAAAAAATATATGCTTGATTTCTTCTTTCAGCATTGAGTAAACGAACACTCGCCAAGACAGTGGGTTATCCACGCTGTATATAACTGTAAGCTACAGAATCGGAGGTGCCGAAATCGAAAGCGCTTTCGCTGAAATGGAAATGGCACAGAGGATTGTGGGAGGAGCATTGATATTGAAAAATACCTTGTGCTCCAGGATGGAGGAGGCTTTAGTGGAGAACGAGCTGGTGGACTGCTTCCGCCACGACTGGGAGGACTTGACGGGTGACGTCACGGCTACGACCACGACGAGGACCGCGATCGACGACGTGACGCCTGGCGTCTACTCCCTCCGACTCCTCAGTTCCCTCTCCGACCTGACCCTTGGGACATCCTCGTCAGCCACTGCCGTCCACTGGCACCCGCAAGCTTCAGGTGAGCCTCGACCTTTTTCCATTTCTGGATGATACCGAAACGATGCCTCGTCGAAAGGGGGAACGAAGAAGCAGGACCTGTAAGAATTCTGAATGCAGTTGGTAAACATGATATAACATACTCTATCCAGAGAATCCAGTAAAGCTGATGACGGAAAGCTAGTTCGAATGGAATCATCTCTCACTTTCAGGCTCTTTCTCCCTCAATATCATTCCATATGTCTTCGATGTGAATGAACGATGTGCTCTGTGCAGGAAACTCTAAATATTAAGCACTAAACAATTTCTGTCTCTCATTCATAGTCGGCATGGAGTAGGGATTGTCGCGAATGAAGATGAAAGATTAAAAATCTGAGAGAAGCTACAATTGGGATGGAAAGTGGTAATGCGTTATTTTTCCAATTGTTTATGTAATGCTCAATATCCACTGAGCCGCTGCATGGTATAGAAAGAGGTTGCGTATTCTTCGGAGATTTGGGAATAAAAGAAGAGGGGGATTAGGACAAAAACGTTTCGCAGGTCCCCTTTGCCTTTCCTCATTGTTGTGGTGTCCGTCGGTTCACTTTTAGGTCACCGGGTCAACCAGTTCGCGGACCTGTTCCTGGCCTAAACTCTCATGAATATGAGCTATTCTACTATTCTGAGCCAAGCGTAAAACTAAGTCTAAGTCGCATTCATGCGTTTAAAACTCGCTTCTCAGACCGTTCTTAGATTCAAGTAAGAAAGTTATTCAGACTTAACCCAAGCTAGTAACGCCGTGCTTAGCTTCAATTCAGATTTATATTTACCTCGTATATTTAGCATTGGCGACGAACAGTCTCAAGGCTATCTATATAAAATTAAGGAAAAGATCTTTGATCAAATGTCTGGGTGTTTGTAGATTTGGTTGGGGTGAGCCTTCTATGGAGAGATGGGAATAGGAAGGATCCTACCGTATTGTCCGTCGGAGGCCGAGTCCTTCTCTGGTCTCTTCCGACCCCGCTCTTGCCTCAGGTATCCCATTTATTCAATGGTATCAATCGTTCCATGATGGGGACACCAATCATATGCACGTGTTCGTGTCGACGCAAGTTGGCCCTCGAGGCGGAGGCCGGTGTGGAGAAGTTCAAATTCAGCCGGACGGACCCAGACTTGGTCGTCGGGGGTCTGGAGAATGGGCGCTGCGTCCTCTGGGATCTCCAGGGGAAATGGAAGACGGCCAAGAAGACCTCTTCCTCCGATCCTCTTCATCCCTCTCTACATTTCCTGGTTCGTCTTCACTACACGACCCACAACTCCACCGTTGTGACGCGGCAAATCGTGACACAACCGGAGAAATCAGAACTATTGCTCCCGATTTCTCATCGTGGGTCTCCTCGAAGACTTGATGACTCGTCACGTTTGCGCCCATCGTTTGAGTTCGTATTTTGATTGTACAGCGGGGTTTGATGAAGAGGGGAGAGGAAAAAGATGATGGAATCGAGAGTCTGAAACCAATCAGGATCTCTCATGTCAAATCCAGTCACGTGGGACCAATCAGGGAACTCTTTTTCGTCCCGTCCACGGTCCAGGTCCTTCGTCTCTCTTCTTCACCTTTCTGCTTTTCTCGTTGAGTCTCTACTCTCGGCATCCTTCGCTCGTATGCGTAGTTCGAGGGGAGGTTTCGGCTGCAGCGGAGGGGAAAAGCGGGAAGGGATCAGCTGCGACAGTTCGTCACCCTGAGTCGAGACGGGTGGGACCTTCGATTGTGGGAGGTGAGAGGGGAACGGCGCTTCCTGCATCTCCGCAATCAGGTCCGGTTTCTGGATCCGAGGAAGCGGCCGGTGTCGAGCATCGTTGCCGTCTATTTCTTGGGATTCCCTACCCCGAGTCAGGTGAAGATGGAAGAGGAAAAGGCCGAAAAGAAAAACGAGGAGGACGAAGACGAAGACGAGGAAGATGGGGGGACGCAGGAAGGGAAAGGACTGCAGGATGATTTGAACGGGACGGTGTTCTGGTTCACCTCGGATGGCTTCGTCTACCGGGGGGATCTCTGGGCCTCCCGAGAGGACGATCAAGGCAATATCTGTAAGGACTTGAAACGGAAAGAAGGAGCCTATGGAGGAAGCCTAAGGAAGAGAAAGCTGGATTGGCTTTATTTTGACTGCCTACAGTGATGAATGCGGAGGAACAGATGTCGATTGGGTGTCCCTGTGTGGAAGTGAGGCCTCACCCGCACATCAAATCTCTCTTCCTCATCCTCTCCGTCTGGAAAGTTCTCCTCTGGAAGGTAACACCAGCTGGTCTATAGATGATCAAATTTTTGCTTCCATTGTTCCCAGAAATTACGAAAGAAATAAGTTATTGATACTTGAAGGCTCAACCAAGAAGCTGCGAAATGAAAAAAAAAATTGCGTGAAAAGGGAAGACGTGTATTTCCTTCCACGTTTGAAAAGAGATTTCAGAAACCGCTCTTCTCTGAAATTTTGACTATATGTATGCCAACTTTCTAAGACTTAAGAAATTATTTATTACCTTTTCAAGACGTTTCCCTCGGTCTCCCAAAGTCCCAAGAAAGAGTACTGATGACTGTCACGGTAAACCGAATATCGGGAGTCTGAAAATGTAGTGATCGGTTATGATCCCTCAACCTTGTGAATGTTGATCAGCCGGAAGGGGTGATCTGGGAGAGCGGATATGGAGAAGGAGATGAAATGGGAGAGTTCCGAGATGGGAGATGGAGTTATGGCGACAGTCGGCTATTTTTCCTCGCCTCTTCCACGGGGAGAATCGAAGCCTGGAACGTGGTCCATCATCACGGACGACCTCTCACGTCCACCCAACCCACCTGTCGCCCTCTGAACGGTTTGCTCCTGCCTCCCTTATCTGGCGAAGGGGTCGTCGATAAATACTGTATATGTCCTGGTGTGCTTCTAGGACTGGGGCTGGGTGGTGGGGATGGAACTCGGCTGGCTTGTGGAGACGAGTCCGGTTCCCTTCACGTGCTTCGTCTTTCCCCTTCCGTCCTCTCTCATCCTTCCCAACACGTAAGGCTCTTCATTGAGCTTCGTTTTCTCCACCCCCTTCTCTTTATAAAGTTGCTTTGTATTGATCGTGCTGATCTGGTCTCGAAAGGTTGAGGAGTTTTTGCAGTACGTGGAGGAGGAAGAGAAGAGACGGGAATCCGCATTGCAAGCTCAGCGTGACGAGAAACGCAAAGAGGACAAGGTAGGTCTAATGGAAAAAAAACTTCGTGGGATTGGTTAACGAGCAGGAGGATGTTGTAAGGTCGACGAATCCCGTGTTTCTTTCAGTGGTTGAAGGCCCAGTCGATTATCACCCGGGACTCAAAGTTGGAGAGCTTGATGCAGATGATCTTGGAAGCCCAAAGCCTCATGATCGGTTCCATTCAATCATCGTCTGATCATCTCGCACGTCCACTCGACTAGACATTGAAGATGTGAGTTAAGAACGATTACGTACGCGGATCTAGAGACGTTGGATGGTCGTATGTCTCCCAAGTCTCCTGACCCCCTGCGGCCTGTTCCTAGCCCCTGCTGAATTTTAACTAAATCTAAACCTTAGGAGAAGTGGACATTCTTAAAATGACGCAACCAAGGGGGGACCTGACACTTCTTGTTGAAGACATCTTAGATTGCATTTACATTAAATTAAATTTAGATTTAAGTTTTAGATTAAGTTCAGCAGAAGCGAGGAACTGAGGCCTGGTTCCCCTTCTTCTTTCTAAAGGCATGCAAGGTTTGGTAAATGGTAGGGAGTCGGTCTGCTTCCCGCAACAGTCATTTCCAGGCTATCTACCGAAATCCTTCTAACTGGGACTTATTATGGAAAGTGATTGACTATATTGTACTGTAGAATCAAGCCGAGCGGTTGATGACAACCTTTCTAAGAGCTGACTCCCTCTTGTGTAAAGTTAATGTAGAGGTCATCATATCCGAAAAAGCATAGCGTCTTGAAGGATATCCTTGCTTAGTATAAGAATCTTGATAGAAGAATTGCAGTAACGAAGGATTTTCATTATTTCTTTTTGATATGCCGTTGTTCGCGATCCAGGGACTGGTTTCGTCCACAATTGGAAGAACTAGGGCAGACAAGGAGCCTGTCCGCCATCATCTCGACCTATTCCAAATCTCCGCTTTCACTCGGCCTTTTATAGGAAGGCTATAAGAAAGCGATGGAATCGAGATTGAGATAGACGCCCGTTATGGATCCTCTTCGTGGATCATTTCCATCGAAATTCCCCCCGGGATCGTAAACTAAAAGCACCATCGGCTTCTTCCGAGAACTCATTTGTCATGATAAGCATTACCGTTCATTTATGAGATTTAAGATCACTGAATAAATATGAAACTCACGGTAGGTGAAACTGAGACTGAAAGAGATGAGACAATGCTGCTTGAAAGGTAAAATACGAGATTGTTAAATAGTCACTTCATAAATCACAGCTACGAAATATGCCCGTTAACGAGATGAACCGGGTGAGGGCAGTTGAAAAAGACCTCGGTTCCTCTCATAGTTTTCGTAAACCGAATTTTGACATCAAGATGGTCGTTGAATTTATGGCGAACTTTAGGGATATACTTAGCTAACGGAATGACGTTCCTCTGTGATAATGAGACCATGTCCAATTCTCCCACCACCCCATGGACTAGCTACACTGAACTGGTCTGACGACTCTGCATCCATCCAACCGAAAAATGTTGGTACTCGTTTAGTATCATTGAATAAGCATTTACAAGAAGATGATTACATGTATTCTGCCTTCTCCACGCATAATGGAGGTTGAGACTAGAGAGAGTGAGTATCCCTATCTATTGAGTTTCCATTTTCGAGGGTTTTTTTTTCTACCAATGAATAAATATGTATATATTTCACACTAAAATCAGTGAAGATCCAAAAAATATTAGTTGCATCGGCCGGGAATCGAACCCGGGCCGCCCGCGTGGCAGGCGAGCATTCTACCACTGAACCACCGATGCTCCTCTTTAGATGTTAATAGAGAACTCGAACATGTACTCGATTTCCTTTCTCTCCTGAATCACTTCTTCCATTGATCCCCGATTTAGCTCCACTGGTCACACCCCATCAGGAGACTCGTAATCCATCTAACTGCATAAATAAAGGAGTAAACGCTAAGAAAAATAAATATATGCCCATTCTCTTTCAGGGTATTTTTTAAAATGTAGGTAACCATGTGATGGAAAGCTTGTAGTCTGGCAGATGAGTTTTAGGTGAAAGAGGGTATGAAGCCATCAAGTATTATTGAGCGATTCAAGAGTACAACCTGCAGGCCTGATCCATATTATCACATGTTTCTCATTCAAGTAAATGATATGCATGTAAAATTGCTATCTAAATGTCCTTTTTTATTGCGTTTATTTTAAAAATAAAAATTGAAATATTTTTTTACTATCCGGCACGCACTCTTCTGTTTACTTCGGATGTAACCCGCCCCTTGAAATACCCCTAATCTATGGAAACAGTGCTCTGAAAAAAGTCGGATGTGGGTTGATCATTTCCAAGTGGGAAAAGGGAGCCTTGACCACGACCACCTCTCGGGCAGGTCCAGTTCGTTCTATTTTCCCATTAACGTTTAATGCGTGGATGACCTCGTCAGCAGGATCGTCGAATAGCCCTGGATGAGTGAGAGGAAGCTATTGGAAACTCTCGACCACCAATAGTTGAGTTCCTTAAATGTTTTCATCCTGCATCGTTAAGACTCGTCTCTCAGCCTGTGAAAGCATTCAACTCACTTTCAAATTGTTCCTTTCTTGAGAGCATTCTCCCCATTCTGCCCTGAGCTCAAAAATTTTATTCTGCTCTTTTATCAAATTCAAAGGTTTCCATCACATGAATAAAATCACTTACGATTAAAAATTCTCAATAGAGGATGGGCAAAGATAGAGGAAGTATGTACTACATGTATCTACAGTATAATGTTGAAAGTCACCAGCGGATATTAACAATTTTTTAAAGATGATTCTTCTTACGCCTAAAAACTATGAAGATTTGTGCGTTAAGAAAAGAGTTACTATCTCAGCAGCCAGTTTTTTTAATACCTTTTTTAGCGATAGAAATAATAAATGTTTCACCGAGGACATGAAAAAAGCCTCATGAGAATAAAAGTTGCATCGGCCGGGAATCGAACCCGGGCCGCCCGCGTGGCAGGCGAGCATTCTACCACTGAACCACCGATGCTTCCTTATAGTAGTACTCTTGGGAAAAAAGATAAGACAATACTTGGAGGGAAAGTGAAGTGAGGAGGAAGTCGTAGTTATCCGGCCTTGGACACGGACACGTTGTCACTTTCTCTTCTATCTCAATGGAGTGTATCATTCTCTTGAAACCCGCTTCTAGATGGTTTGTAATTCGATTTCGGCCACTTTCTCAGTATTTTTTTAAAACCTTTTAACGGGGACGCCCGTCAATGACGTTTTCGCAGTTGTGCAACCCTCACCCGGATGTGTGGAGGACACGGAAAATGCTCCCCCGTTAAAGGGTTAACGGAAAGTGACTTTCACCGTCTCGCAAGTGAAATTCAGCGCTCTGGACGAACTGTCAGCATGCACGTAGATGATCCTCTGCGTGCCCTGCGTATGTAAAGGTTTTTTTTCGTCATGGGAATTCTAGCAATTCTTATAATTCGTCATTTTGAAGACAGAGGGTGACATGTACCAGATTCGTTTAACTTTAAACTGATTCGTTTTCATAATGGGAGTGTATGGAAAAGCGATGACCCAAGAGCACGATGACCCAAGAGCGAAAAGTATTAAGAAGAGTGAGAAAATGAAGCGAGAATCGAGAAGGACCACGTTCCTGAAAAAATAAAACGTCGGTGATGGACTGCCAAATCGCTTGATCTGAAAGATCACGAATAAGATGCAGCAAGTGGTGACTTTCTCTCGAGAATCCCATTAGCAGAATGTGGGATCCAGAACTATGAGTCCAGACGATATCGTTATTGCGAATGTTAAACGATTAATGTGTGCATGTGCTTAAGGCACTGAGGGCAGCATTTGTATGGTATTGCCCCACAGGTACGTATGTCTAGCAGGTGAATGCCGTCGATGGTCTTCGTCAAGTAACCCTTATCTGAGCAAGGTATTTTTGTGACAAAAACGAGCAAAACAAATGTACTCCTTTTTTTCCCCTAAAGGCAAATCAAAACGTTAAAAACTCATTTTGGATCTATATATAAGTGTCAATGAAAGACACAAAATTTGTAGAAAATGTTGAAAAAATTATTCAGGTTCATTGAACTTCTGTTGCCCAGAGGAGAGACTTCTCAGCTGTATTTGGAACTGTTGGAAGTCCACAACTGAGCGTGCTGAGCCAAGCAGAATAGCTAGGCTTGGAATTTTATAGTTCAGATCGAGCAGAAAATTAATTTTATTAATTGATTTTTATTGGCTGATAGGCCTGAGTTTCTTCTGCATTGTTATTGGGGATGGTGTTTCACGCATCATGTTACCCATGCTATCCAGAGCTAGCCCAATTAGTCTCTGCCCTTAAGGCCAAGCCAAGATTCCTGTGAGTGGGGGATGGTCAGGCATCCGACTTGTAATGCCACTGGAAGAATACGTGGGTGGCCAATTATGACGTACTGTAATAATTGCTTCTAGAGACTCTGGATGCGTAAGAATCTTCTCATGGATGCCACAATTCGCTTTTGAATGCTTTATGCAAATATACCTTTCCACAGCTTATGGTATAAAGTGAATCTATCCGCAGATTATGTTTGTTTTCAAGGGAAATTCTTGTTCACCGAAAGGTTTTTTCCTTGATATTAGGAACGTCATCCCACTTTAGTCTTTTCTTTCAGCAAAATCGCACCAGCTTGCCAGCATAGTCACCAAAACGTGCAAAAACCTCTGAGTTATTGATACTGAAAATTTGAGAATGAATTTGGCATGCAGTCGTATGATGGTGAGAATATTCCAAATCAGAAGTTTCTGCAGCAAACGAAGGTAGAGATATTGGCTTTAAATTTGGCCCTGTCGAAATAGCCCTCCCTCGTCCCCAGATGCTAACTTTATATTTGTCCTAACATTACTTGCTCACTTTGTATTGTGAATTGGTTGACTCTCAAATTAGAACTAAGAGAGGGAAATGTAAAATGGAAACACGCTAATTAATGATTGGTAGGATAATTTTAAATTAGAATATGAAAAATAGAGTTATTAAAAAAAGCCTCTCTTCGTGAAAAAGTTACATACGAGAAATGAGAAAAGAGAGGAAGAGCAAGGCAATTTAAAAATTCACCTGGTATTGATTATATTTTAATTTGACATTATCTTACAAATGATTACTTAGCATGTTTCCATTTTTCATTCCCTGCTTATTTAGCTCTAACTTTAGTATATAGAGGAAGGAATAAAAATATCAAGTTAGCATCTGGAGGCGAGGAAGCCATATTTCGCCAGGACCA